GTGAGGGAGAGCGTGGCGGTGAGACTAACGTAGGCGGACCTAAATCGCTGCTCTGTGTTATCGCATGGCGAGGTTGAGATCATCCCTGACGGGTACAGAGTTCTCATGGTAGAAGCGTGAACACGCCTCGAACACGAGCGGTGCGCTGAGGACACGGCTGACACACCCCCGCGGGCTGAACAGCTGAACACACGTGCTGAACAGGGTGGAAACACGGCGCGGAACAGGCTGAACTGGGCTGGCTGAACACGGCCGAACACGGCTGAACAGCTGACTAACACGCTGAACCAGTGAGACACGTCTGGATCAATTGGAAACAACAGTCAGTCCTTCAGCCCCTGTTAGTTTTAAGACAGCGCTGCTCCAGGTTTGCGTCGCTCCGACGTACCCTGACAGCTCACCACGATTGGCAGTACACCTGAGGCTGGGACACTTCGGATACACACTCGAGGTACAGCATTATTACACCCTGAGCTACACATGTGATACAGGCCTGAGTCACACATGTGATACACGCTTGGATGGCCAGCCTGTTCAACACCGCCACATTAACAGCCGGTTTGCTGTCCATAACAGGTGTGCGCTTTCTGTTCCACTAACAGTGCGTTGCTGTGTCCTGCTTCCCAGGCTAACAGCCGTTCGTGCCGTGACTAGACAGCGGTTCTTCTGTTCTGCGCCAGCTGAACAGCGGCTTCTCGTCTGCTTCCCACTAATCAAGCGGCCGTTCTGTTCCACTAACAGCGGCGTTACTGTTCCACTAACCAGCCGGTTGCTGGTTCTGTTCATCTAACAGGTTCGTGTTCTGTTTTCTTGTATTCTATATCTATGTTTCTGTTCTATATTATCATTGCTTTTCTTTTTCTTCTGCTGGTTCCAGCTAACAGCGTTCTGTCCTTTCCACTAACAGCGCTGGTTCGGCTTCCACGGGGGTAACACCGGGGCGCTCTGTTCCAGGCTAACAGCGGCCTTCGTGTTGGCCACCGGTAACAGCTGCCGTGTCTGTTCTGTTGCCACTAACAAGCGGCTTCTGTTTCCCACTGAACAGCGGTTCTGTTCCATCTAACAGCCGGTTCTGTTCGTTCCACGTAACAGCTGTTGCACACAGCCGTGTTTCAGTAACAGCGGTTGCTGTTCCACTAGACAGCGCGTGCTGTTCCGAGCTAACAGCCGTTGCTGTTCTGGTTCCCTGAACACGGCCGGGTGTCTGCTTGTCTGTTGTCAGCTAGACGAGTACTTGTTTCCTGTTCCACTAACACCCGGTTCTTTTTCATAACAGCCGGTTCGTTTCCAGCTGAACAGCGCTTTTCTGCCTTCTGCTCCACGTCCAACACCAGGTTTGCTTTCCACTAACCAGCGGGTGCTCTTGTTCTGTTCCCCACTAACAGCGGTTCTGTTCCGGGAACCTAACAGCCGGGTTTCGTGTTCTGTCCGACTGAACAGCCGGTGTCTTTTCCACTAACAGCGGTTCTGCTTCCGACTAACAGCGGCTTCTGGTTCTGTTCCACTGAACAGCGGTTTGTTCCACTAAACAGGCGGTTCTGTTCTGTTCCACTTTTTAAACAGCCGCTTTCTGTTTTCTGTTCGCCACTAACAGCGGTATCTGTTCCGAGTCTGGAACACCGGCTTCGGTTCTCGCTTCCGAGGGGCTTAACAGCGCCGTTCGTGGGTTCCAACTGAGACCCGGCTGTCGGGTTGCTGCTTCCACCTAACAGTGGTCTGCTTCTGGTTTCCACTAACAGCGCGTGCCTCTGGTTCCAACAACACCGGCTTCTGTTTTCCACTAACAGCGCGTTGCTTTCCGACTTAACACCGTCTGTTCCTCATAACAACCGCGTCTGTAGTTCCACTAGACAGCCGTTGCTGTTCTGTTCCAGCTAACACAGCCGTTCTGTCCAGCTGAACACCTGGGCGTTCTGCTTTCCATAGCACCACCGGTTCTGTTGCACTGAACACGCGGTTCTGTTTTCCGTAGTAACAGTCGGGTCTCTTCTTCTGTCCAGAGCTAACAGGCTGCGTTCTGTTCTGTTCCACTACACCGTGTTCGGCTTCTGTTCCAGTAACACCGGGTTCGGTTTCTGGTTTCCACTAACACCGCCGTGTCTGTTCCGTGTTCCACTGTAACAGCCCGGTTCTGTTCCACTAACACCGGCGTTCGGCTTCTGTTTCCGAACTAACAGCGCGTCTCGTTCTGCTTCCACTAACAGCCGGCTTCTGCTTCCACAACAGCCGTGGTTCTGGCTTGCCACTAACAGCGCTTCATGTTCTGTTCCACTAACAGCGGTTTCTGCTTCTGTTCCACTAACAGCCGGTTCTGTTCCGACTAACACCTGGTTCTGGTTCTGTTCCGACTAACAGCCGGTTCTGTTCCACTACAGCCGGTGGTCCGGGTTCTGGTTCCACTAACAGCCGGTTCTGTTCCGATAACACCGCGTCGGTTCTGCTTCCACTAACAGCCGCGTTCTCGTTTCACTAACACCGGTTCGTTCTTGTATCGACTAAACCAGCGGTTCGGTGTTCCATACTAACACCGGTTCCGGTTTGTTCCGGACTAACAGCCGGTTCTGTTCCACTGACACACCGCGTCGCGTTCTGGTTCCCTATCTAACAGCGCCGTTCTCTGGCCAGCTCAGACACCGTTCGGGTTCTGTTCCACTAAACAGCGCGCTCTAGCTTTTCCACTAACAGCGGTGGCTGTTCTGTTCCTAACTAACAGCTGCGTTCGGCTTCGTGCTGCCATCTAACAGGTGGTTCTGTTCCGACTTCTTAACAGTGGCTTCGGGTTCCACTAACACCGGTTGCCGGGCTTTCCCGTACTAAACACCGGCCGTTTCGGTTCGCGTTGTGCCACGTAGACACCGGTGTCGGTCTGCTTCCACGCTAACAACTTTAGATTAAAGAGTTCCTCCTGAGAAATCACCCAAACACGTGATTTGAAAGTCGAGTAACCAACTGAAGGTGTAGTGTGCACTATCAGTGCACTTCCGGCCTTCACCTGATAGCACCACGCTGAGAGGCGCATTAAACTATTAATCATTAATTAATTAAGCTCATTAACTGCTTAACTCCATTAATTAATGAGTTAATGAGTTAATGAGTTTATATTTATAATGGGATTAATGAGGTTAGATTAATAATTCATCAGCAACGACCGAGACCAACATCCCGTTTTAATAAAGGAGGCAAACGGGGAGGCAGAACAGTGGGCCGTGGAACATCAGAGAACATCAGAGAACTGAACTGAACTTATAACTTATTGATCCTCCACACCACTCCTATATCGATCACATGTTAAACACACAGTTACGCGGGTAAACCCACTCGGTATTGGCGGGTTAAATGTGAGGTTTTATCAGGAGCGCACGGCCCGTCCGCAGCTAGCTGTTAGCTTAGCTTCCTGTTACTAACTCCACTTTACCGCCACAAGAACAAAGAGAACTCCCGCCACTCTGCGGACCAACACTACCTGGACTCCTGCTGCCGCTGCGGCTCTCAGGTGAGAGTCAAACAGCCCCCCGGTGTCGTTAATGTCAGCGAACCCGTAAAGTAAAGAATAACTCACCCGTCCATTGCACAACACGGAACTACGGAGAGCGACAGGTCTCAGCGCGACCGCCGCTGTCAGACACAAAATGGCGTCCGGCCCGAGGAGCGCGCTGATTGGACGGTTGGCAGACATTGTGGGCGGTCCCGACGGGAACCGGGCGCTGATTGGCTGATTGGATGGGCAACAACAAAGACCGGGGGGGGGGCGTTGTCCCATAAACTGCTGTTATCTGTTTATTTTTACTTTATTAAAAAACATTTTGGACAAAAACACAAAAGATTTGAAGGTTTGATGGTTTTCAGATAATTTTGTAGAAAGAAAAATAAAATATATAAAACAAACACGAGAGATTGATGGGAAATATTTTACACACTGTAAAGACTAAATCTGTACGTTTACGGGAGTTTCCCTTTTATTTTACAGATTTTAGAATTAATAGAATAAAAATACAATTCATTTCTGAAGTGTAAGACAGTGTAAGATACCTCTGCATCCTGTGCATCACTACTGACCTCTACAACTACAGATGAAAATAACTTATTTATATATATATATATATAAATATAAATATATATGTGCATTGTCCCTGCTAAATAAACAATAAATAAATAAATAAATTTTCATGTTATGGTTCAACCAACGTGAGTTTTGAAGAGTTTTAGATCTGAGCTCTAATAATAATATTTATTGAGGTTTTATTGAACAAAGTGAAGCTCTTTCCATAATAAGAAGATACAACACAATAACTGTTCAGTCTGTTTCTTTCATTTAATGTCATTTAATGATAAAGTTATTTTATTATCTTTTCCCAGTTCTCTCTTAACTACAGGACATCACAGAACAGCTGCAGGCATAAACACTGGGAGTCTGGGCTCTGACGGCGCTGCAGCACCCCCCAAAACCTGACATAACCTTAGACTTACCTTTTTACTGGGATTTACATGTGCACACAGGTATTAATTTAAACCTTTTATCGGCTAAAAAGTTCTAATAAAAAGTTTAAACTGTTGCTAATAACTGTAAAATAGACGATGAATTATCCCGGCCACATTCAAATTAATGGAAAATCCATAAAGTCTGCAGCACTTATGTCATTAGACAGAATTCCTCTCAGTAACCCTTCTGCAGGTAACAATTATACAACATGGTCAAAACTATAGAAGCAGCACAGTGTAACAGCTAATAACAACAAAAGAAGAATGTGTTAGGTATTGTACAGCAAAGCTCTGTTTGAATCTGGTTTTTCTTTTTATTGCTGTTGCTGTTGCTGTTGCTGCAACATCGAGGAGCCAAAACCTGACAACTTTACTCTCTTATGCAACAACAAAAGGACTCTTGTGCCCTCGAGTACAGAAGAGTCCCGTTGGATCACTGTTGTTTCCTGAAGACCATCAGTCAGAAGTGATCCTCGGGGGTTGTAAGCAGCAGGTTGCTGATGCTGGGAATTGAACCTGTGACTGCTCGGGGACAGTGCAGCCTGTATGTGTGAGCCGGTTTCTGTCTGCTGGACTCAGTGTCGTGTAACACGCTGATAAATAATTCCTCCACGTGCTGCTTTTCAGGAGATTGCTTTGTGTGTTGGGAAGATGATCCAGTTGCTCACATGAATAATTCAACACACACACTCACTCATTCACAACTAACTCACACTGTAAAAAAACCTAAAAACATAACGGACTCAAAAATACAGTAATGTTCTTTAATTCAAATACAGTTATAAGCTTTATTATTTAGCTTTTTTGTCTTTTTTAATGTTTAATTAAACATATTTAAACTGTAAAAACAATGAAATTACCTCGAAATACAGACAAACTCTGCTATAATACAAATAATCAGGCTCACATTTACAGCAGAGTGTTGTTATTAATTGATTTTTTTCTTGTTTTAATCAAAATTTTAACTGTAATAAAAGTCATTATCTGTGAAATTACAGTAATTATTGCTGTTTACACTGATAAAAACTGTATTTGGACAGTTTACCAATGCTTATACACTGAT